CGGACCGGTCCTCCGACAAACTTTGACCTGGCGGAGCACTGGCATTGCCGTTACTACTGCCCGATCCCTCCTGACTTTTTACGGTTTGAAGTTCTCGAACAGCAGCTCCGACAAGGTGTTTATAATCAGCCCGATGCCTAACACTCTTGATAGCATCAAGAGTGCGGTAGCCGGACCCTTGAGAGAGGATGTACTCATTTATGAATTTTTCCTCTCTCAAGGCCTCCACACGAACCAAAAGTCTGAGCTCTTCCGGAGACCATAGCTTCTTGACTCTCTCGACGGAAATAGCAGTGTTAGCCGCTTCTAGGTGAGCCAATCGCTTATGCACACCCAAGCCACGCTTAGTCGTGAATGATCGTGGGCAAAATTGGCATTGATGCTCCAAGTCAGTGATGTTCTGTGTACTGGCTGCTTCTTGCGATTCATGTGGAATAGGTTCTGCATTTTGTGAACTGGCATTCACTTGTTGTAAAGGATCTGTGGAGCCAGCAGTCCGAGACGGGTTTATTACCCGCTGCTGGCAATCAGCTTCCGTTTCATTTTTTGGGCCCACAGCAAAAGGCTACGCCGGGTTGGCAGCCCAACATAGCCTGGAGGAAAACCTCCTGTCTCTCCTGAGTTACGCACGCACTCGAGGCCGAGTGGTGAGGATATGACCGCTAATGTCTACTAACTCCCTATCGGACTATAAACGTAAGGTTCTCGCTTACGATCGATTCCGATCGTACAGTCATATTGTGCCGGGATGCTCGAAACGCGAGATTAAAGAAACTGTGAGAAATGTTAATGTGGTTGCACGGTCATCTACACAAGAATTATGTAAAACGGTAAGAGTGAATGATGTCGACATAACAGTCCTTGTCAATACGGGCAGCGATTTAACACTAATAAAGGCCGAATGTTACATAAAAATAGGTGCTTCGCGTTTGCAGAATAGCGATATGAAATTTAAAGGTATCAGGTCCGAAAGTGTTAAGACGCTAGATAGATTTAGTACGAATATTTTTATCGACGGACACTTTCATCCCATTTTAGTATACGTAGTTTTCGATGTACTACTGAAATATGGGCTGCTTCTTGGTGCCGATTTTCTAAATACTGTCAAGATCATGAGAGTTAACGGTGTCGTATCATTTGAGAAATTAGAGATGGAGCGCGACGATTATATTCCGGAAATATATCGCATCGAATGCGACCAAGGTTGTGACGACGTAGAGCTTAATCATATCGAAGATCCGGTAATTCGACAAGAGGTTCGGGAAATAATAAACGATTATGTTTCTAAAAATACGCGTAAAGTAGACGTGAAAATAACGATTGTATTGAAAGACGATAAGCCGATTTATCAGAGAGCGCAACGATTAGCTCCAGCTGACAAGGATGTAGTGAACGCTCAATTGAACGAGTGGCTTTGCGATAACATTAAATAACCATCGCTTTCCGAACACACGAGTCCTATCGTAATGGTAAAGAAGAAAGACGGTTCCGCACGACTATGCGTGGATTATAGAAAAATAAACACGGTGATTGTGAAAGACCGATATCCCATGCCGTTGGTGGAAGATCAATTAGATGCGTTACAAGGAGCACGGGTGTATAGTACACTCGACCTAAAGAATGGTTTCTTTCGAGTACCGATAAGCGAGGAAAGTCGCAAGTATACGTCGTTTATCGTGCCGGACGGGCAATATGAATTTTTACGGGTACTTTTTGGACTGTGTAACTTGCCGGCAGTCGTCAGATTCATTAATTCCGTGTTTAATGAACTCATTAGTAAGCAAATCGTGCTAGTATATACAGACGATCTGATTATACCATCGAACGACGTTAAGACGGGAGTGCAAAATCTGAAGACGGTTTTATCAGTAGCGAAAGATTTCGGCCTAGACATAAATTGGAAAAAATGCGCTTTATTAAAAACTGAAGTAGAGTTTCTAGGATATATGATTAGGGATGGTAGTGTACAAGCATCTGAGCGCAAGATAAACGCCGTGGCGAGGTTTTCAGAACCGACATCGACAAAGCAAGTCCAAAGTTTTTTAGGTTTGACTGGTTATTTCCGAAAGTTCATAGAGGGATACTCTTTGATCGCGAGGCCGTTAACTGATTTGCTGCGAGCAAATGTTAATTTTGAGTTCGGCGATAAGGAAAAAAGAGCGTTCGAAATCTTAAAGAGTAAGCTTTGCGAAAACCCGATATTAAAATTGTATATGTTACCGTCAAAGCTGGAAATCAGGCATTACTAGTAATTCATCGGCATTACTATGAATGCAAAGAGCCTTCAGACGAAGTCGGAAATAAGACTTTTTGGAGAGTTTTTCCTAGGCATCGAACATTACTTTGATATCCTATAGAATATCAAATTACTATTTAAACAACGTTGAAAACAATATATCCTCAAGCATAGGCCGACGCAACTCCCCCCCCCCCACCACCAACAAACAACCCGCTACCCACTCCCATACACACACACCACACATGCGATCAGCTAATGAAGCGAGCTGAAAGGAAAAAACGAAGGTTTTAGACTTGTTTGAAAAGACAAGGAGAAACAAGATAAAAGCAAGGATATCGGTATCGGATTGATTAATTCATAAAGGACCGCTGACCTCGTACACTACATATCTACAAGTTAGCCAAGTCAGAAAGAGGCAAACTTCCAGATTTTCTGGTAACTATGAAAAAACTTGATAAAATAGTAATTCGACGACGCTGAATCGAATGATGCTAATTTTTTTGCAAAACCCTAACGCAACCCAGAAAAGCCAATAAAGTATTATACCTTGTTGTATTTGCTCAGTCAAGTGTTTTATTTCTTACTTTTTATTTTA